TCTCAACCGCCACCCCGGCTATCACGTCAGCCAGCTCAGGCAGGGCCGTTGACACATAGCAGGGGGCCAGGTATATTATCAACAGGCCCACTTGCACCCCTTGCCCCCACTTCACAAGGAGGGACTCTGCACCGTCTATCTGAGGCACAGTGGCCTCCCTTGGACATAGGTTCTCCCTTATAATGACCGCTACCCCCCCACCCCTACCCCCGGTCCTTGGCTGATGAAATGCCTGGAAACCTGGCGGGCACAGATCAACAAGGGGAACTCCCCCCTCTATGCCCAACCAGGTCTCGGTGATACCTGCCAGGTCCGCTTCCCCCTCATGAATAAGTTCTTGAATGAGGGGGGCTTTATTCACCACGGACCTGGCATTGCACAGCATCAGCCGATGGTCTCGGGCCTGAGGATCTGAGGTCCCTGGAGATCGAGTAGAGCCCTGAGGATCGGAGCATCCACAAGCTTGTAAGCAGCGTGTGCGTGCTCCCAAAACCCGATATGGTCCTCTGCTCCCACCATATCTGCCCCTCCCACTGACCGTACCTATCACATCACCCTCCGCCAGCTCCCCAGTCTCCTCCCTTACCACCCCGCGCCCCCCAGACAGGACTGGCCTTGGCCTCAGAGAGGACTCCCCTAGTTCCTCTCGGGCCAACCCCGAACCCCCTAAAAATTTAATAAAACACCCCTCTAAGAAGACCCGTAGTTTTTTTCTTCTTAGGTCCCTCAGTGCTGTCGCTGAGTGCCACCTCTCGGGGTTCCAATATTTATCTTACTAATGACTGAAAGGCACAAAAATGATGAATCTTAAGTATTGCTTCCTATATTATCTCAAAGTGATGTACAAAATACAGGTATAAATAATAATAAATTTGGGGAAGAGGAAAAGAAAGTAGAAGCAACAACAAAATCCAGAAAACACTACAGTGATGTAACAGAACAGGCCTTATGAATCATTCTTAAGTTGTGGTTTGGATAACATACCATATTTTCCGGCGTATAAGACAACTTTCTAAACCCTGAAAATCTTCTCAAAAGTCGGGGGTCGTCTTATACGCCCAGTCGTCTTATACGCCGGAAAATATGGTATGTTCTGTTGTCTGATTTATTTGTTGTCATTTTTTTTAGTGTTATTCAATTGCAGATTTAAGTAGAGATATGTTCATTTATATTGTCAGCTTATTTCTAATCTCATCATGATTTGAAACAATTATTATTTGAATCTGTCGCAACATTGTATATATTTTCTCCTGGGATGTATTTGTTTTGTTTTGAGTCATTGCTCCTGCAGATCTTTGAAACTCCAAACTGGGGTCTTCAGGAGAAGGTGTTGAGTATAGTTTTCTATCACTTTTAGATAGGTATATAATGTCCATTTTGCCTCTCCCCTTTAAGTAATTTTTCTTCGGTGTCATAGTCTTTTAATTGGTTTTATCAAGCCAGCCCATCTTAAGTTCCAAACAGCCAAGCCTTATGTAGTTCTTACCTTTATATAATAGCTTTATAGTCCAATATGCTTCCAATTGTCCAGGTACCACTGAAAACAATATTTTATAACAGTTCTTCTTTTCAGGGGTCTTGTAATTATCAACCAGTCAGGATTCAATCCAAAATATTTAACCATCTAAACGTTTTCTAGTAATTTCTCCTTTAGAAGATTAGCCAAAAGCCAAGATTTTTTTTTCTTCTCTGCAAACAGTTCTTAAGTTTAAACATGCAGTTCAGTATGTTTGTAATCCCAGAAGGTCAGCATTTTTAAAACAAATGTAGTTTCGCTCAGTAAGAGATAACTTGGTGCTTTGTTCCCAGCTGGTTTTTTTGCTGTTTCTAGGCGTCTTGCCAAATTTTGAGTCAATACAGATGTAGTTTCCTCTAATCGTCCACTAGGTGCCATTGTTCATTTTCCAACTTTTTTTTTTTAAACAAAGTTATTTCTGTTCTTTTTATATATATATGTATAATTTCATCAATATTTTTCAGGTATAAAGTTTTAGCAATTTTCTTAGTTTTCAAATTTATCCAAACTGTGGTATTTTGTATTCCCCCCCCCCATCTGAGTTTAATTTGCCACTTCTGTCTATGGAAGGGGGGGTATAGTCCCCTCCTCACTTTGGGAGGCTTTTTGCTTCTTGGGATCTTTTCCGGGAAATTAGGTATAAAATAGGAGAGAGAAGATCAAATTCCTCACCCAGTTTCAAGCACACTATTCACTGTTGTGCTGGTTGGTGCCTTTGGACTTTGGCTGCAAGTAGCTTGGGCTGGTCAGTGAACTGTGGCCAGCCTTTCTCCTGTTGGGTTAGAAGGCTTTCCCCAAATCAAATGGAACGACCGCCGTCATTCCAGAATCTCTGGGGCACCCTTAATTGTTCTCACTGTTAGGAAATTTCTCCTTAGTTCTAGGTTGCTTCTGTCCTTGGTTAGTTCCCATCCGTTGCTTCTTGTCTTACCTTCTGGTGCTTGGGAAAATAGGTTGACCCCCTCTTCTTTATGGCAGCCTCTCAAATATTGGAACATTGCTATCATGTCACTCCTTGTCCTTCTTTTCACTAGACTAGACATACCTAGTTCCTACAACCATTCTTCATATGTTTTAGCCTCCAGGCCCCTAATCATCTTTGATGCTCCTTTCTGCACTCTTTCCAAAGTCTCAACATCTTTTTTATAATGTGGTGACCAAAACTGGATGCAGTATTCTAAGTGAGGTCTTAGTAAGGCTTTATAAAGTGATACGGGTACTTCACGTGATCTTGATTCTATCCCAGTGTTAATGCAGTCCAGGACAAGAATGTTGTCTGTTGTTCTCCTGTTGCAGCCAAGCTCCTTCTACGTTGCCATTGTCTGTGTGGGAGGTGATGCTCACAGGATTAGGGCTCCCTCCCTTCAAAGAGACTGGGGCAAGAGTGATCCGCTTTGGGTTGGTTGCCAAGAAGTGTGTAACCCCCTTGATGATTGGAAACCTCAAAGATCTTTACAGCATAACAGTAAACCCAAGCTGTAGCTTGTAAATTTTAAAAGCAGGTCAGGTCTGAGGCAAATCAAGGGATTGGTTTTCTGTGTGTAGGTGGTAGTGGTGCTTATATTATTTCTTTGACTTGTATGTGATCCTTTGGAATCTGATGCAGTTCCTTGAAAGCCCTCTATATCTCCTTCCCTTTCAGCAAAGGCAGGGATGAATGCCCACACACCCAACAAGGAGCTGCTGGATGGCTCACCGGATCCAAGTAAGCACTGGGAAGGGGGGGGGAGAGGTTTGGAGTGCATAAGCCGAGTGATTTTGAGAGCTTTGACCTGTGAGTGTCCGGTGCATAAAACTCCTTCCCAGATGCCACGGAAGGCAGACTGACGGTCTCCCCCTCTCTCTGGGAGGGCTTTGGGGTTTGGCGGGCACAGTTCCTGCTGCTGGAAATGTACCTCTGTGCCATGTGTACACGAGGGCAGGACTCCATCCTCGAAAATGTCGTCTTCTGAGATCATAACCGATAAAAGAAAAAACAAAAGCAAGAAGCAAGCATGTGTTGGATAGATTCTTCAGATTTTTGGCTTGTGGTTTTTGTCAACATTACTCCAATCAGGATGGAGAGAGCAGCTAATGAACCTTCTGATTCAAGCAGGGCTCCTGGACTCGGTAAGGAACACCCAGCAGGAGATAAGAGAAAAGGAGCCATCAGTGCTGGATCTCTCCCTTCAAAGGGATAACAGCCTTTTTTCCCTCACAGCTCCCAAAGAAGCTGAGTGCCAGTTAGGCAGCAATAAGAAACAGAATGCAAGTTCTTATTTTGAAGAAAGGGTGCAAAAGGAAAACCCCATTTTAAGCCACGTCTTCTCTTCTCCCTTCTTCCAAATGTTTCTGCTCTGAGGCAGTGAAATCAGATTTTGAACTCTGATTTGGCTTTCTGATGTGCAGAATTACGATGGGATTGTGGATCCCACGTGAGTGATTCCTTCAAGAATGGGGAAGCTGCCCTGGGAAGCAACCTGGATCAGTTTTTTAAGAAGGAAGGGCCACCTTAGGCCAGCGATCCATTGAAAGCCCAAAGGAAATAACTCCTAAGCGGCCTTTGCCTCTGTTGGGGTGGAGGTGAGTGTGAGTGCTGTTCCATCTCCCTGGGCTGCTAGTCCTTGACTCTGGGGCAGCCCTTCCAGACAGCCCTAGAGACCAGAAAGTGGAGCCTCTCCCTCCTCATGCAAGAAGGTGAGAGGGGCACCCAACCTCAAGCAAAGCTGTGCGGACTCACCCCGGCATCGAGACCCTTCCGTGCATCCCAGGAATGAGCAAGGTAGCAAGCGGGAGCCTGAAGGGAATGGCTGATTTTGGGAGGCATTTTCCCACCAAGGTCCTTCTTGAAGCCAAAGAAGGTGCTTTAAATCGGTATCAAAATGTATTTGTGTGTGTGTGTGTGTGTGTTCATGTGTGTGTGTGTGTGTGTTAAACATACAGGTAATCCTCGACTTACGAACACAATTGAGCCCAAAATTTCTGTTGTTAAGTGAGACATTTGTTAAGTGAGTTTTGCCCCATTTTACGACTTTTCTTGCTTCAGTTGTTAAGTGAATCACTGCAGCTGATAAGTCGGTAACTTGGTGGTTAAGTGAATCTGGCTTCCCCACGGACTTTGCTTGTCAGAAGGTCACAAAAGGGGATCACGTGACCTTGGGACACAGCAACGGTCATAAATATGAACCAGTTGCCAAGCTTCTGAATTTTGATCACGCGACCACGGGGAGGCTGCAAAGTCTTTCCCCCTTTTTTCAGTGCCGTTGTAACTGAGAGCGTTCACTAAAGGAACTTTTGTAAGTCGAGGACTACCTTTATATGCATCCCAGCAACTGGACTGAAATGAATGAGAAGTGCTAGAAATGAGATATCTGAGCTGAGTTTTGGAGTCTTGGTTGATCAGCTCTGGGACGTAACGGGTGCCCCCATTTTCCTCTCTCTTTCCTGAAGCCGAGCAGGAGCGCTTCCAGGCCAGAGGCTTCTGGAAACCCCCCCCCCCCCGTCTGCCCTCCTGCCCCTCTCCTCCAGCGCCTCTTCCTGCCTCCCCCAGGAAGACCCTGTCAGAATCCAGTCCCAGCCCTCCCTTGGGCCCACTTCTTTGCTCCCCATTTAAGGCCAGCCCTTCGCAGCTGACTCCGGAGTGCTTGATAGGGGCTCTTGGCCAATAGAGGTATGAGAATCTCAGGATCTAGTGCTGATCCGATGGCTTCCCAGCCTCCCAAGGAATCCTGAAAGGTCCCCCAGACAGATCCCAGAAGGGGGTGCCCTCTGTCCCCAGGTACCCAGCGGGGGGAGGGGAGGGGGTGGGGGGGGCTGGGTCTCATTCAGAGGGGAGGGAAAGTGGCTCTGGTCTCGAGAGGGTTTGGGGCAAGTCCCACCACACCACTTTCCCCCGAATTTCCTCCTCCAGTTTCCGCTTTTCCCTCTCCTCGGATTTCTCCCCTTTTGTGTTTCTTTTTGAACCGTGGGAATGCCCCCCCCCCGTTGTCTCTCTCCACTGTGGCTGCCATGCTGACGCGCCTGTCTGCCGACACAGGCTCTCCCCCCCCCCCTTCCTGCCATTTCTCTCGCACTGACACAAGAGGGGGACCTGGTTTAATTCGCCGGACTGGGCTTCGAATCCTGGTGCTGCTGTTCTGTGTTTTTGTGCGCCTCGTTGTGCTTGAGAGTGATGTTAATTCTGCAGTGGCTGGTTTGGCTTGGATTCCAAATCACTGGGCAAGGGAAGCATATTAACTTTTCAGACCCCAGTTGCATGATGGGAATGAGCTGGCATGGGCACACTGCACTGTTTAACCAACTCTGTCTTTCTTCCCCCACCCCCCTTCCTCTCACCGTCCCCCCCTCCCTTTGGATTTCGTGTCTTCCACCCCTTGTGTGTCTGTTTCTCTCCACTGGCTTCTGTGGCACCTCCCACCACTTCCTGGCTCCTGGTTTCTCCCTCTTCCTCCTCCTCCTCCTCCTCCTCCTTCTCTCCCTCTGTACACAACACGAGACAGTTCTGACGCTGTCTGCTCCCCCCATAGTGCCAGGCTTCTGTTGTACTGTTGGGGTGGACTGGAAGTCTCTCACCACTCCGGCCTGTCTTCCCCTGACCACGGATTATTTCCCGGACCGCCAGAGCCTGCGGAACGATTACACTGAGGGATGCTACGATCTTCTTCCTGAAGCGGACCTGGAGAGGTGCGTCTGCCTGGGGATCCACTGGCTCTCAGGTGACCAAGTCACGCTGGCTGTTGACAGCCCCACCGAGCGTGGCTAGGAGGAGAAGCGCCTCGTGTTGTCCTCTCTGCTCTGGCCTGACCCCAGGGGCCGCTGGTCAGCTTGTCCTTGCGGAGGGAGCGATGGCTCTTTCCCCCCCACTTGGGCTCCGTCGCTGAATGACCCACAGAGAGGAGCCGGGGTGGGCCTGGCTTTTGACCCACCCGTTCAGAAAAGCTGCATGCTGCAGATTGAGCTCCCCTCCCCCAAAGCGTTCACTCAGCCAAGGGGCTCATTTCAGTCCAGTTTGCCCAGTCTCTCTCGCTTGCTTAAACCTGTCCTCCCCCTGCCCTCATCTGGGACGTTCACGGTAGCTTGTGTGTTTCTGAATTTGGAGCTTTCAGTTCCAGCAATGGCATCTCTGCAGTCCTCAGGCGTGGACGCTCGTGGTCTCCTCCTCCTCCTCCTCCTCTTCCTTGGCTGGGCTTGTGGGTGGTCGTGTCTCGGGCTGCCTCTGCAGAAGAAGTAAAACAATCCTGAGTGCCAAATGGCTTCCCTTGATCAGAAGCCCAAGGCTCTGTTCAGAATATTTCTGGGGAGGAGGGGAGCTGATTTGCCAGTGCATGCAATAGTGGGGGAGGGGGCGCTTGAGCTGAGTAAAAGGGGGGAGTTGAGCACTTTCCAGTCCTCCTGGGAGCAGTGCCAGAGCAAGGGGCTCCCCGAGAGTGGCACCAGCCAGTCTTGAGGACACCTAAAAGGAGGGGAACCGAAGCACCAATGGAGGCGGCAGCTGCAGCTTTGATTCACTCATTTGATTATGTAGCTGCCCATCTCACAGTTGTGACTCTAGGCGAGAAATAAAATAGATAAAAGACATAATATAAAGAATAAAACCCAGAGCAGCCTGGCATCAATCAACATAGGAGATAGCCGTGGCATACAGGTAGTCCTCAACTTAACGACCATAATGGAGCCATCCTATGTCATGATGGTTGTAAGTCGAGGCACACACGTGACCAACACCATTTTAGGATTTTTTTCCAGAGTGGTCATTATGCAAGCACTGCAGTCATTAAGTGAACCTGTTTTCTGTAAGAGTCATTTCTTGCCAGAAGCCAAGCCAATTTCCAGCAAAAATCATCAGTAAGTGATTGATCATAGTTCAAGGACTCCCTGCAGGGGCTCTTCCATGTTGTGGAGGCTCCGGAAGGTCCCACTTTCTGCTTCCCCTGAGCTCAGAGCAGAGCAGGGAAAGGTGTCCTGACCCTGAACAGGGCCTGTGTTGGTACCAGATTCCTGCCCTCCCCCGCCCCTGGTCCCTCACCCCCTCTGGTGCAGGCTGCTCCGGGGAAGAGGGAGTAATGGATGGGGAGGGTCCCCTGTTGTACACTGCCTCCCTGTGATGATCCCCCCTCCCCTCCCCTCTTTCTGTCTCAGGAGGGATGAGGAAGGCCTGCAGATGACAGCCCAGCAGGTCTTTGAGGAGTTCATCTGCCAGCGTCTCATGCAGGGCTACCAACTCATTGTGCAGAGCAAGCCCCAGAAGCCGGCAGCGGTCCAGCCCCCCCTCAGCAGCAGCCCCCTCTACAGCAGAGGTGAGTTGGAAGAGCAGTTTGGACGTGGGCAGCCAAGGGCACCTGGACCAGGGAGGGGCAGAAGGTAGCCAGCCATTGACTTATCTGAGCATGATACGTAATGGAACTAATGAATTGTACGATGTGCCCAGTCTGATGAGATACACCCAGCCCATCTGAACACACAGCTGCTTGGAAGCAAAAAGCATCCTGGGATGGCAATGATCCACCAAGGACCAGGTGAAGATCAAAGAATGATGGATGGTTAAAAGTTCTAAGAGTAGGACATGGATTTTCCTGATCAAGAGCTACCCAGTGACAGATAGACCCTCCCCAAATTATAGCAATTGCCCATGGCTAGGTTGATGAAAACCAGCTGATTAGGGTCCAGGAGAAATAAAAAGGGAATAGGAGAAAAAGAGAAGCTCCCTGCATAAGCTGGGAGAACTGTGTGAGGTGTGTAAAGAGATGTATGTGTAAAGGGTAAGTTTCTCTGTTCCTGGTGTTTTATTTGCTCCTCGTACTTGCTACATCTCTCTGTCTCTGCCTTGCTGGGAAATTCTTCTAGAATGAACCAAGCTGCTGCAAGGCAACAGAGGGGAACCGTGTGATGGCTCATTTAAATAACTTCTCCACTTACATTTCTTGGGGAAATTATCTGCACTTCTAATTTGTGTTTTCTCTGCCCAGGCCTTGTGTCACGCAGCCGACCCGAGGAGGATGACCAGTACTGGCTGAGCATGGGCCGGACCTTCCATAAAGTGACCCTGAAGGACAAAATCATCACTGTCACTCGGTATCTGCCAAAGTGAGCATCTCTTCCTGTCCCCTCTTTGAGTGGAGAAAGTCAGGAAATGGGAGTCATTGGAAACCTTGCAGGGTCTTCATTGCCCTTTGGGGCAGGGTCTCCAACCTTGGCAATGTTAAGACTTGTGGACCTCGATTTTGGATATGGCTGACTGGGGAATTCTGGGAGTTGAAGTCCACAAGTCTCAAAATTGCCAAAGTTGTAGAGTCCTGCTATAGAGCAGTGATGGCGAACCTTTTAGAGACCGAGTGCCCAAAAACTGTCCCCGCCCACCCCCGCTCTGTGCCCCGCCCACCCGCATGGCCACCCACCGCCTCCATGGCCCACCGCAGATTGCCATGGCAGCCCAGCAGTGCTATGGCAGCCACGCCCTCTGCCCATGCCCCGCAGCATCATCTGCATGTGACGGCGCGAGGGCAGAGTCTTGTCCCCACTGCCTGGCTGCCATGCCTTTGGCTGTGCTGCTCTGTGCGGACTGCACTCGGGGGCAACTCTCCTCTGGGGGGGCAGCTGGTGAGGAGGAGAGGGCTGCGGGGGGAGGCGGGGCTGGGACGACGGTGCACGGGCCCACAGAGAGGGCTCTGGCACCTCTGGCACGTGTGCCATAGGTTCGCCACCACTGCTATGGAGTATTGGAAAAGAATCCTGAAAGCTCTTCACTTCATGCCTAGCACAGACTACATATCCGGTAGCCACACCTGGCGGTTTTATATCCCCCGGGAAATCAGAGGGCCATTCATAATTAGCAAGGGTCATCCAGTTTCACTGTCTTGGGCATGAGAGCAGGAAAGTCATTCATCAGCCACTTTTACATTAAAAGAAAAGACATTCCCCCGTGGCATCTGACCTGAAAAGGCTTGTTTTGATATTTTCCTCCTTTTTAGGTACCCCTATGAATCTGCCCAGATCAATTACACTTACAGTCTGTGTCCTTCCCACTCAGACTCAGAGTTTGTCTCTTGCTGGGTGGAGTTCTCCCACGAGAGGTTAGAGGAATATAAGTGGAATTACCTGGATCAGTACATCTGCTCGGCTGGTTCGGAAGATTTCAGGTAAGCCGAGGGCCTTGGTCCTCCAACTCTTTAAATAGGCGCCTAGTGAGCACCCGGTTCTTCGAAAGGATGCCCTTGTGAGGAGTCCCAAAGGCAGGACGGCCGGTCTAGGTGAGCTAATTCTGGTTTACTGTAAGGCTCACTGACTGAAACGTGCAACTCTGAAAGTACAAACCGCTTCTAACTACTTGATCCATTAGTGCAGATCCATTTCTAAGTTTCTTCCTCTGTCCGTTTAGCCACTAGGGACCCCTGCCTCTCTTGCCTGGTTGCTTCCTAGGCAGCTTCTCCTCCCCTCCTCCCCCAAGGTCACCCACACAGTCCGTTACAGAACATTGGGGAGAAATAAGTTTTTTGCTCATCTTTCTTGCATTTCACAGAGAACCTGGCAATAATAATAATCACAGCTGCATCAGCAATGGGCATTCTCAAATTCTGTAGTCTCAGCTAAAGGGAAAAGGCTCTGTTTCAGTGATCGATGCCCAGGATTCCTACATGTGGGAAGTGCCATCTCCAGATCAGGGAAGAACCCCTGCAGTGCGAGGGATAGCAGTATTGGCACCAATAAAAGAGAATATTTGTAGCTGAGGGTTGAAATGAGGGGTCCTTGGTGCTCTCTGAGCCTGGTTGTTTTCTTACAGACGTTTCATTACCCAAACTAGGTAACATCATCAGTACTAGTGATGCTAGCTACTTAGTGCCAGTGATCAGAGCTAGTGCTAGCAAGGACTCGTCTGCAAGGAAACAAGCAAGCTCAGAGGGCACCCAGGAGCCCTCCTAGCAGCGTTGGGCCAGGACAGGGGTAGACAACCTCGGCTCTTTTATGACTCATGGACTTCAACTAGCTGACTCAGGAATACTGGGAGTTGAAGTCCATGAGTCATAAAAGAGCAGAGGTTGCCTACCCCTGGGCCAGGAGGACAGAGCCTCTGACCCGGAGTAGCAGGTTATCTTTGCTCCTAGATGTGTCAGAGGTTAAGGGAGTTAAATGTTGGGAAGGGGTTGATGAGAGGCCATGGGGAATTAGAGAAGAGGGGCATCCTTCTGCAGAAGTAAGCATGAAATGCAGGGTCTGTTAGATCTTCCACATAGGACTCTCTCTAGCTCTTCAGAATGAGCCAAAGTGTTCCAAAAGAGAAATGATTCCAGTCTTGTGGAGAAAAAAACTGGAAATCATTTCTGTATAAATAGGGTACAGTTTCAGTTGCCCTTTAAGAAAAGATGCTGTGGAGCTTCTCTTGGGCTTATTGCTGGCTGGAGTCGTGTTTGGGAAACCAGAGGCTGGAAGCCCAGATCCCCACCTGGAACTGGATTCGCGGCCTGGGAGAGAAAACGGGAGGAAGAGCTCCAGGGCGTTGCTTTGTTCTTCCCTGCAATGATAAAATGTGCTGCTGTAACAGATTCCATGACTTGCCATCTGCAAAGCTCTTTTTTTCATTTTGGTTGTTATTTTTTTATGTGAATGAAGACAACTATACAAGTCCCAGGATAATGTGGCAGGATCCAATCCGAGTCTGTCATTGGGGCCAAAGCTTTCAAGCTTTCAAGCTCGTGCTGGAACCGCTCATCAGGGAAATTCTCTCTCTCCAGAATACCTGGAAAGAAATATTTATCTATTCTAGAGAGAGAAGTGCCCTGATGAGGGGCTCCAACGCGAGCCCAAAAATTTGGAAGAAGAAACCTTTCGTCCTGGTGACCAAATCAGACTGGATCCCGCATTTTTAATACTAATATGACTTTCCTGATCTGTATCTCTTAATATTTCAAGATATGGAATAGAATAAATTCAGCACTTGTACCTATATTGGACAACCATTTGTCTGAAATAGTATAGGGCAGGGGTAGACAACCTTGGCTCTTTTATGACTACTCTACTCTACTCTACTCTACTCTACTCTACTCTACTCTACTCTACTCTATTCTATTCTTCCATTCCTAATTCTATTTACTCTACTCTACTCTACTCTACTCTACTCTACTCTACTCTACTCTACTCTACTCTACTCTACTCTACTCTACTCTATTCTATTCTATTCTATTCTACATCAAGTTGGGGCAGAAGGAAACCCCTGTTTTGAACTCTTATCCTTCCAGACAGGCCAGTGGGGAAGGGCCGTGGGAGTCAGTTCCTCCCTTTCTTCCAGGTTTTTAATGGTTAGGGATTTAAATTGAAGGTTGCGGGGACATATTTGTAAGAGAGGGACGAGATGGGCTTTGAAACAGTCACTGGGAAAAGTCAGTGTCTGATGACAGCGTGTGACAGCACCATGGAGGAAATCACTGGCTTGATCTCACCCCGCTTGGCTCCCGCTTTCTCTCCACACAGCCTGATCGAATCGCTCAAATTCTGGCGGACACGTTTCCTGCTCCTGCCGGCCTGCATCAGCGCCACCAAGCGCATCATGGAAGGCGAAGTGCACTGCGACATCTATGGCGGCAAGGCTCGCTCCGACGAAGAGGAGTGGCAGCTTTTGGACGGCTTCATTCGCTTCGTGGAAGGGCTGAACCGCATCCGCAGGCGGCACCGTTCGGACCGGATCATCCGGGTAAGTTGGAACACCCAGTCCAGGAGCTTCAAGGGCTTGCGGTTCCCCACCAACCGCTGGTTGCAGAGCAGAACTCGGCTGGTCCTCTACTGTAGAAGGAAACTGTCTCAGCCTCCTGATGAATGGAGGATTTTTAAAGAGGAGGATGAAAAGTTCTCCACATGAAGAAAGTAAGACTTTATTTACTTATCAGATTTGTTTCCATCAGCTTACAACATGTCAAAATACGATAAGAAAACGTCCCATTCAGATCAGGGGTCTCCAACCCCCAGTCCGTGGCGTGCCAAAAACTGGTCCGCATAAACAAGCAAAGCCCCATCCATGGGATGCAGGAAGCACACGAAACCCCGCCCCCTCCGGTCTGCGGAAAAACCTCTCTCCATGGAACCGGTTCCTGGTGCCCAGAAGGTTGGGGGACCTCTGATTCAGCTGACCAACATTGGAAGATTATGCAACTTCTCTGCTTTCAAGAAAGGGATAAAACAAATTCTCTTGGGAGCTGTTTTCTTCATAGATAAAAGGGAGAAAGCTCCTGTGGCTTCCCTTCAGTTCCCAGAATCCTTTGGGAAAGTCCAAGGCTGTCCTAAAACTGACCACCCTCAGGTCCCCGTGAGCATCTCTCCTCTTTTTCTTCGGCCGCTGACTCTTCGCTGTCTTCCTCCTGTCCAGAAAGGTCCTGCAATGAAAGGCCTGCAGATCACCAGCCCTCTTCCTGCCCCCTCTCTGGAACCTCCAGGGCCGCCTCCGCTGGCCAAGAAGGGGACCTCTGCTCTCTCGGCTCTCTTAGAGATGGAGGCCAGCCAAAGGTGAGTTCCCAGAGAAGCACACCTGCACAGGATTCTGTCACTCTCTCCACATGTACATCCACACATCCCAGTTTCTCAGTTTAGGAACCTGCATGCTTCATATCTGCCTGAGACTGAATTGGTTTGGCTGATCAATAAGTTGGATCTCTTTGGAAGAACCTCTGAGTGCATCGGATCTACTTCATGTAGACGTGCTTAATAACCCTCTCTGGAGTCTTCCACCCTTTTCATGCCCTGGTACCCTGCCAGTCAAATCTGGATCATAGATAGCAAAGATCAGACAGGGCCTTTGAGATCATCAAAGTGTGGGCAACTCTGGCCCCTTTACGACCTGTGGACCTTAACTCCCAGAATTCCTGAGCCAGCTGACAACTCCCAGAATTAAAAGTAAGGACCAACACCTTGAATGGGATCCAGAAGCAAATTAGCAACCAGTGCAGCTCGTGCAACAGCGGTGTTACACGTGTCACCCAAGCGGCCTCCAGGACTGTCCATAGTGCTGTGTTCTATACCACCTGTGGCTTCTGAATATTCTTCAAGGGTTTCTTCAAGGGTAGCCCCAGGTAGAGTACATTGCAGTAATCCCTCCAAGAGATAACCCAGGGCCTAAGTGACTGCCCTTCAAATGCACACTTTTGCTTTTGAAATAATCATAGGGGTCCAATTTTGTTTGAGATGTTTGTTTGCTTATTTAATTAATTTTGTTTGCTGCCCATCTCATCATAAGAATACTGGGTGGCTTACAATGTTAAAAAGAATAAAACAATGTAACAATATGTATACAATAAAAAGAAAACACTATAAGAATACAAATGATCAGCTATCCATCTAAAAGATGGAGAGGGAGGGAGGAGATGAGTGGGGGGGCAGGTGGGATCTCTATTAATCTACGGTATCAACCACCTCAGGCCTGATGCTTCCCCATTGGAGACCCTGTGGGCAGAGGGCATTCTGCGCAGTCCTGCTTGTGCCTCTCTGTGTGCTCCTTGCCTAGAATCAAAACCTCCGGTAGGAGCTGGCATGGAGACGGGACATTTCCTTCTGTCCGAAGGCTGAGCGATTTTTCATGGACTCCTCTCACTTGTTTCTAGGATACTGGGGGAACAACAAGCCGCAGCCTTCGCTGGGAAGAGCTGTGCCCAACCAGCAGAGAGTGGCAGCATCACCATGACACCTACGTACATGGACAGTCCACGGAAGGTGAGGGCAGAAGCTTAAGCACAATAACACACTCGTGCATGTGGCTCCGTGCACGTGGCTTGCATGTGCCCTCCATTAACCACTGACAGGACCACCAATCTGAGACAAGGGATGAGTCTCGACACCAGACCAGGTGGATGAGGTGTGTGTGAAAGAGGTTGGATGCTGGCTGGGGAATTCTGGGAGTTAAACTCCACCCGTCTTAAAGTGGCCAAGTTGAGAAACACTGATCTTCACAGTTAGTGAGTCTTTCATCTTTTGCGGGGTCTTCGGGGACAGCTGAGGTCCTTGCATTCTTCCAAGGTGAAAACTGTGTGTGTGTGTGTGTGTGTGTGTGTGTGTGTGTGTGTGTGTGTGTGTGTGTGTGTGAGAAAATGCTTGACCCACAGGCCAGTTCTGTTTTGATTGTTTTGGATCCCAGACGGGTGCAAAAGCCCAATTACGAGATGCTTGTCCTCCCGTTGGCACTTCAAAATACAACCCTGGTATTCCAGGCTCGAGGTGAATGCTGGCTCAGCCAGGACATTTCCACCTCCAGGCTTGGTTCCAATGCCTGAAATGTACAGGGGCTGACTGGCTGCAGGGTGTGTGTTCTGCCTCCCTGAGACAGTCAGATCCAGAGGGCATTTCAAGAGGTTGGACTTTGAAGGGTGTGGCAGGGCCAACACTTCCATTTCTGCTCTGACATAGGTTTGACTCAGCTTGTCATTCCCATCTGTAAAATGGGCAGCAGAGTGACTGCCTCCTGCAGGGCAGCTGACCTGGCTCTCCTATTAAGTGTTGGGAGAAGATTAGATGATGGTACATTAGCACGGATTGGTGCCAGGTTTTTGTTTGTTTTATGTTTGAACTGGTTGTGTTTTATAGCATTTTTAATCGCTATCAGCAGCAGCAGCAGCAGCATTCTAGCCATTGTCTATCTATCCACTGCAGGATGAACGTCTCTTTCACATGTTTCCAACCAGTATGGTCCTGGGCTTTCTTTTGCCAATTGGGCCTGTAATACTTGCTGATGTCGTTGATCCGTTTCGCTTTAGGTCTCTTTCGTGGATGCCTTTGATCAAATGGGATCCACTCTAGGACCGCCTTGGTCCACCTGCCCTCAGTTCTTCTTGCTAGGTGACCAGCCCATTTCCATTTCAGTTCTTTTACTCTCTTGATGGTATCATAGCATTTGTTCTCTAATCCAGAGCTCCCCAACCGTTCCGGCTTGGCGGCCCGGAAGGAAAGGGAGGAGTAGGGAAATGTGCGTGCGCACAGCCTGCGCATGCGCAAGCAGGCCACATGCACCTGCAGCGGCATGCTGGTGCCCGCGCACACGCAAAAGGGCTGCTAACAGCCACGTTACGCTGGTGGCAGTGCTAGCGTCCCATGCATACGCAAACGAGGCTGCTAGCACCCGCATGGCGGCGCTACCACAAGTGGGGGGGTGTCTCACCAGTTATTCCCACAGCCTGGTGGCCAAGAGACCATGGCCCGGTAATGGGCTGCAGGGACCCCTGCTCTAATCCATGTGCGGGTCTTTCTATCCTGTTTTGTAATGCCGAGCTTGTATCTTTCCATGGCTCTTTGCACCACTCGTAGCTTTTGTACTGATGGTGAGGTTAGTGTCCCATGTTTCACCGGCATATGTTAGAGCAGGTAACACACACTGATCGAAAGCATTTCTCTTCAGGCATAGGGGGAGAAAGGTTCTTGAAAATTATGCTTAGCTGGCGAAATGCCTGCCAACCACGTTTAACACCCCGTTCAATTTCCTTTATTGTATCACCTTCCATTGGCCAAGGTATATGTAGTGGTCTTCTCCAGATATAATTTTTTTTTCTTTCTTTGGTGAATTTATTAAACACAACCCGGCTCTATTCCAGGCTTATTTTTAAGCCGAATGGTTCTCCTGCTTTGTGCAGCTCTTGTATGTGTCTTTGTAGCTCTTTTGGGTCTTGTGAGAAGAGAACGACATCATCTGCAAATCTTCAGTGATTTAAATAGGCACCATTGATTTTTATTACATCTTTTGCCCAGTCTAGTTTGCGAAATACTTCTTCAGAGCAGGGTGACAAAAGGACAGGTGATATTGTATTGCCTTGTTGTACACCTCGTTCTGTGTTGATTTCCACTTTAAGATCATTAAGGCAAATTGATATTGATTGTAGTAACTTTAGGTAAGCAATGTCTACACCTTGGTTGAGCAATGCATTAATTATTGCTTGCTGGAATGCTGAGTCAAAGGCCTTTTCATAATCAATGAAAGCCATGCACAGAAGCATAGTGTACTCGTTGTGCCCTTCAATGATTTGCTGAACAACCTGGATGTGATCCATTGTGCTGTAGCCACTTCTGAACCCTGCCTGCTCCTTTGGCTGTGTATCATTTAATGTTCTCAATATTCTTTTTGTTATTATCTTGGTGAAAACCTTGTAGATGACTGAAAGAAGCCTTATTGGGCGATAGTTTTTTTAAATTATCTTGGGCTCCTTTCTTGTGTATAAGAATCACTTCAGCATTTTTCCATGTATCGGGTATTTTTTCTTCTCTGAGGCATCTCGAGTATAGTTTTGCTAGTATCTGGCGTAAACTGTGACCACCAGCTTTCAGCATTTCAACTGTAACACGGTCATTTCCTGAAGCTTTGCCATTTTTCATTGATTTTATGGCACAGTACTTCCTCCACTAGGATATCTGGCATTTCCTTTTTCTTGGGTGCTACTACTTTTGAGTGATCTTGATCTTTGTATAGCTCTGAATAGAATTTTCCAATTCTTTCTAACATTTCCCATCTTGTTCTACACAGAGAGCCATCTTAACATTTTAATGCAAAAACCTTCTTTCTTGTATTTATCTGCTTGCATTTTGCTCTATTCATCCCTTTGCTTTCTTCAATTGCCTTTTTCACAAGCTTCACATTAAACTGATGCGTTTCTTCTTGGATACATTTTCTTATTCTGGCACAGTTCAGCGTCCTCCAATTTATTTGTGAAACTTCCAGTATTCTTCATTGTCTGTTGGTTTTTCATTAAATCAATAGTTTCATCAGAAATTTTTGATTGTACAAAGTGTTTTTTCCGGTGGTGCTATAGATGTAGCAGATTAAAGCATGTTTTTGACTACTTGTTCATTTTGGTCTGTGATCTTCACCTCTTCCAAATCTTGTAATAGAGCAAACCGATTTGATAGATTAATCTCAAAATGGTTGTTCTCCTCTAATAGCTTATCGCTCCGTTTTTGTTTTTTTGTGAATATCATTTTTATACATTCTTTTTATCAGTCTATCTTCACTTTAGCTCGTACCCTTCTGTGGTCACTTCCAATGTTAAAACGATTGATGCCAGTACAATTGCAGAATATGGTTTTATCGCTTGACATGTATTCAGTTTCGCTTGTATACCCAAATGGACTCTTCCATGTTCCTTTTTTCTTTCTTGTAAAATGAGTTCATGATATAAAGTTCCTGTCCTTCGGCAAAAACTACAAATCTGTTGCCTCTATTATCTCGTTCACTGCTTCCATACGGGCCAGTCTCTTTTTCTCCAGCTATTCTTCTTCCCATTCTTGCATTAAAGTCACCCATTAGTATTTCGTATCAGCATTTTTCTTTGTCTTGAAGGCGGGCCACATTGTCGTAAAACTCTTTGACCTCATCATCACTGTAGCTTATTGTTGGCACGTAAGCTTGGATGATTGGCAGCTTGCACTGTTTGTTCAACTGAATGAGGCATTGAGCTACCCTTTCTGATATACTTTCAATTTTTTCTGCAGAGTCTTTCAGCTTTTGATTGATGAGAAAACCAAGCCCGCCACATCATCAGTACCTCTAGTGTAGAGTAGATGCCCAGACCTATCCAGTTCAACTAAATTTTCACCTTTTCATCATGTTTCACATAATTCAGTGATATCCCAATGCATATTGTTGAGTTCAGTTAGCGGTTCTTCTAGTCGAGCATCGTTTTCATTGTTCAGATGTTGACCGTTCCTATGTCCAAAGTCCAAAGGCAGCCTGATTTAACCCGGTGATCCTTAGCACCCTCTGCCTTCGGGCAGGTCTTCCCACTGCTGTGGGTAGTTTGCCCCAGGGCCTCCAGGGAATGAGGGCCGTATTTGAGGTTGTATTGGCATATGGAAGGAATAATCTGCCACACTGGGCCAATGTGGGTTGGCAGATGTGATCAGTGTTAGTCTGGGGAAAAAACATATAAAATCACTTTATATGTTTTTAACTCTTTGATTGGAAACCACCCAGTATTGGCTAAGAGAAGGGCAACTATATAAAAGTTTTAAACAAATAAATAAATGCAACCTCGGGAAAGCAAATGGTAGCATGAAAGAGACGCACGAAAGGCCTGGCTGCCTCTCTCTGGGCTTCAGCCTCTCAGCCACAGGAGCCCAGAGCAGCGGTCGCTCTGCTCCATCCACCATGCTCGGTTGCCCTTGCAAAAGAAATGCATTGATTTGAAGAGCCCCAAGTTGCTATCTTGGGAGGCAACCCAAATAAATGCAAAATGCGGAAGAGACAACATCGGGTCCAGATTCTCGCGGCAGCCTGGGTGGGAGCAGAAGCCTGGCTCTCCTTCTTGCATGCTCGGAATGCTTCCTCCTTTCACCTCATACCACCCCACCCCCCATCTGCTGCGGTTTTCGTGCCCTGTTGCCCTTCCACCTGGAGTGACAGATCTGCACAATGTGTCTCCCCCCCTTGTTTCTGTTTCCGCCTTTGCTGTTTCCTGGTGCTTCAGGATGGGACCTTCTTTATGGAGTTTGTTCGAAGCCCTCGCGCAGCACCTCTCGTCCACACACAGGTCAGTTTTTGACAGGTCAAGCGCTTTTTGTGTAGCCCGTGCTACACAACGTATGTGGGGTCCACATTCCCCCATGGGGAAACCTGAGTCTGTCAGCCTTCCCAGGAAGACCAACAAGAAACACGACCAAAGGAATTAATTCTACTTTACTGTAAAGCTGCATTAACAGAACCTTGCAAGTCTGAAAGTACAAATCTCTCACCATCGCCTTTACAGACCAGGAAAATTGGGACCGTCCCTTCTGAGTCTTCCTCCACCCATTTTGCAGCTGAGGGCTGCTTCCTCTCTTATCTGATTGTTCCCTAAGCAAAATCTCTTCACCCTCTTCTCAAGGTCTTTCCCACAAACCATTGCAGAGTCTACATGAGTTACAAGGATGTGGTTTGGATGAGGAGGCAAATGCTGTTTGCCTGCCACTTTTTGGTGCCCTTTCCGTTCCTGGACTGTTCAGTTTTCTTTAGAAAGGAACCAAGCCAAAAGCTCCTGGCCCTTTTTCCTGCAGAGACAGGAGAAAAGTCTATGGGAGCTGGATCCCCCTCTGCCTTCAGCATCCTGCCTAGTTAGTGCAAAGGTCTGGAGATGGCTTAATGTAAATTTATTTGATCAATAAGACCAAATAAATCAGAACTCTGAGGCAAGAAAGTTCCTCAAAGAACATGTTTATTGGATAGTTAATATCAGCACGTTCAAAAGTGAAATCAGATCTAAACTTTCCCTCCAAGAATCAAAGTACTACAATGCAACAATTCCTACCCCTCTTTCATCCTAGCCAGTAGAACACCTTGGCGGGCTTTCTGACTCAGCGATCCTCCTCCTTCCCTGCAGCAAAGGATTGACTTGGGTTCCCACAAGAGTTGCTCATGTTTAGACTACCAGAAGTACCGTCTCCCCCTCCCCTTTCTTGTGGCAACCTAGAACGAAAAAAATGGCTGCAGCCAGGTTCGTTGTAGAGTTGACACAAGTTCTTGGCAACTGGGTGTATGTTGTGCTTGATGTTCGAAAGACCTGAATTCCCCATTAGAACAAAAGGAGCTTACACACAACAGCCCCATCTTCTCATTCCCTCACCTCAAACTGGGCTGTGCTGCTACAGCTTGGCCAAATGACCATGTGGCTGTGCTACTGACCGGACTGAGAGCTAAAGGTCATTGTTGTGTCAAAAGGGCTGGTCCGTGGGTGATGCTCTGTGCGCCAGATCTTACGGGCATTCTGCCCCAGTTGGCTTGCGCTGCTGCCTGAGGTTTGGCTTGGCAGATCAAAGTTGTTCTGACCCAGAGTTAAGTTGCTTTGTAAATCTAGATCAGACAGATAAACTCAATAAGAATGATTATAAAACAGATACACTTTATTCAGAAGGAAATACTTGCAATTGTGGTTGTTGCTCCTGGATAATATACATCTGTTCATCTTTATAGATAAGAAATTAATGCTTCTTCCATACCAACTTCTAGCGTGAAAATGGGACCATCTTGAGTCCTGCCGTGGCCCCATGCTTATATCAGACAAAGAACATTCCAAACTGGCACGTAGCCAGTATATCCTGCAATGAACTTTAGAAACTCCTCCCACTGACCTACTAACATGATGTAGCTGACTAGCTAAAACTACATTACCCATAAGCCATCTCTTAAGGAGACAGCACTTAACCCAATAAATGCCAAACATTCTAACATACAGATCTACATGATCCAGAACACAGGTGGAACCTTCCCTGAGAGCGAAGGGGCAGGCAGAAGAGAAAGGTTGGCCCGGAAAACACCAGAACTGTATTTCTCAACCTTAGCAATTGGAAGATGTGTTGACTTTAACATGTGGAATTTTGGCAATTGAAGTCCACACATCTTCAATTTGCCAAGGTTGAGAAACCTCTGCTCCAGAACCAGTTCAGATTGGCTGCGCTGTTGCTCATTCTGCAGGGAAGGACTGGCTGGGGCCCCCAGTGAGATTGTTGCAATGAATTCAGGACGGAGCCCTCTCTGATTGTGGGGGGAGCCTGCTGGCCCTCTGCTTCAAGTGAGTGGGGGGCATGAAAGGCCCCTGACCCCAGGAAAGAATCAAAGCCCCGCTTCCCTGGCTCCCTTTTCAACCCTTTGGGTGTTACTTGATAGAAAGGCAAAAATAGAAAACGGGGTGGCTGAGATTTCTTTTATGGGCAAGAAAGTAAATCGTATTTTGAGCAATTTCTCCCTGCCATAAATTGGGATTGCTTCTAACGAAAAAAAAACAGGACAAATCAATAGTTTATGGAAGATTTAGGAACTGACAGAGGAATTACCCATTTCCAGTAAAAGAGGTAAAGCTTCCTCAGTATTAATTCATGGATGCTGGAAAGAATCTTCTTTTTCTTAGCACAGAATTAGCAGATGGAGATGTTACCCTTGATGGGTGGCTGTTTTCTCATGGGTTCTTCTCCAGATGTTGCTTCAGGGCAGATGGAAGTTGGTCTTTCTGGGGCCTGATCTTTCTAGAAGATTGTGGCAGTCCTTTGTTCTTTGGGTGGAGTTGCAAGACTATCCATTTCTCAGGCTGAAATCATTTCATAGCCTTTGATGCAGAATTGTCCTCAACCAGAGGCCATTTTTAGAATAAATTGAGGCGCCCTCCTACCCTTGCATTCCCTTAATGAACTGGGGGAATGACCTGGAAGCGCATTTGCAACACAAATTGGCCTTTGGCCCAAGTTCATCCATCTCCTATGTGACCGGTCACTTCAGCCTGCAGCTTGACAAAGTTGCTCTCCCTGCCCCCCCCCCCCCGGTAGGATTGCAGTGAGTTTGGGTGGGTCCCCCCCTGCCCCTTGCAGTCTGCGTCCTTCAAGACGGTCTCTGTCTCGCGTGCTCTCGCTCTCTCTCTCTGATCATCCAGTCCTTGGTCCCCTCTGCAGCTCCAGATGTGGAAAGAGGTCCATGGAATCATCAGGTTATTCACAGGGAGAGATGGAAACTTAAACAAACTGCAGGGCTCTTTGTGATCCTGATCTGGACGTGTCAAGGAAATTCGAAGCCACACAGATTATGCATCTGTCTTAACTAGTTCTGAGCACCCCACCAATTCTCATTTTCAGGACCATGATGGATGTTTTCATTATTGAAGCATTTTGATGCTCGTGAGCATTAGCCTGAAACGCCCAAGTCTTACAATTAGGGCCAGCTGAAAGTTCCTCTGTGCACATGCAGGGCTTCTGCTTTCAGGCTGATGGCCTCTGTGTTGATCACCTCTTCCCTTTCCCCAGGTCTCTGTGGATCAGTCGGTCCCAGCAACCCTGGAAGGCAGCACTGCCATCAACGCAGCCCAGCCTGTAGACCGTAGCAGCGTTCAAGCCGGCTCTCTTCACGGAGGGGACCAGACTTCAGCCACCTCTGGTCCTGTGGAAAATAGGTAAGAAGGACCGGATGGGGTTTTTGTTGTAGTTGGAAGTAACTGTGCCATCAAGGAGCAGTTCATGTGAAATCTTCCTGAAGTAAGAGATCTGTCTTAAGTAGATACGTCCTGCCTTTGTGACCATCCTCTCTTGAGCGCCCTTCCTCTTTGTGACTCTGCAGCGCTTTCCCCACTCGGAGCTTCTTTTCTTTCAACTCTGCAGCTCCCAGCCATCCTCCACCAGTTCCCTGACCTCTTCGTCTACTTTGCTAGAAATCCTTGAAGCGATGAAACATCCCACGTAGGTTTCTTCAGCTCCCCTTGCCTCCTGGCAGCCCCTTTCCGGGAGAGAGCGTGGCAAGTGGAGCCCGGCCGGCCATTGGGGAGGCAGAGGTTGGGGACAGGTGAGAAGACTCCGGGGGTCCTTTACCTGTGCCTTGCTTGGCTTTCAGCACGGGGATCCAGCTGCTCTCTGAGCAGAAAGGCCTCTCCCCATCCTGCTTCATCAGTGCAGAAGTCGTGCACTGGCTGGTGAACATGGTGGAAGGGGTGCAGACCCAGGCCATGGCCATCGACATCATGCAGGTGAGGAGGTGGGAACTTGGCAGCATGGACAGAATTCCTCCCGTCTGCCTTAAGGAAGGCCGGACGTCACTAAGGAGGCCAGTGGGGAGGGAGGAGGGCTTCCTGCAGGATCCAGGGGCTTCAGGCAGCATTGGGACTCTTGGATAAACCTCAGCCTGTTCCTTGCTCCTGGAACAGGATCCGTTTCCTCCCTTGGGAACTCCAGCCCGCTTCCCCCTGTAGACTAGGTCAGTTGGAGATGAGCAGTTTCTGAAGGCAGCGGAAATCCTAGCCGTGGAGCAGGATTTCTTCCCCGTTGCCTGCCTGGCTCCTGGCTGTCCTTCCAGCTGAAGCGGTTCTTCATTTCATCTTCCCTCCCTCTTACGCTCTAGAAAATGCTGGAGGAGCAGCTGATAATCCACGCTTCCGGAGAGGCCCTTCGCACCTTTATTTATGGGTTTTATTTCTACAAGATAGTGGAAGACAAGGAGCAAGAGCGAGGTCAGGCTCAGGGCGGTTTGGGGCAACCCTTGTCCCTCCAGGAGCACTTGGCTGCCTCCCCCCCCCCCCGGCTGGCCCACTGCAGTGCTGGAGAGCAGAGGAGGCCATGCCCAAGAGGCCTGTGGAAAAGGAATGAAAACTCTTTCCTAAGCCAAACCTCCAAAGATCAGTTCAGAGGTGGAGAGCAACACCTTGTGTCCTTCACGGTCTCTCCCCCTGCTCGTCCTCGCCCTCCCCTGCTCTGAAGGGAGCACAGTTCACCCTCTCTTGGAGTAGAGTCTTCTGGATTGGGGAGGGGGACAGATGGATCTAACCTTGAGAAACCACCCTGGCATTCCTCTGCCCAAGTGCAAAGATCAGCTGACACCACCACCCCTTCCCCTGATTTCCTCTTTAAGCAAGAGGCTCTGCTTAAAGGAGATTGTAGCTGAGACTGACTCCTGAGCAGGAAGAGGGGGCCTCCCCATCTCCCCCGTGGTTGGGCAGGGGGACCTTCCCCAGGCCCCGAATAGCGTTGGCTGACCCAAAGGAGCTTTCCCCCCCCCCTCTTCTGCAGGAGGGATCCAGCAGCCTGCCCTGTGGCACACGGCCAAGGACGAGTTCTCCGCCTTCCAGCGAAAGTGGTTTGAGGTGGCTTTTGTGGCGGAGGAGCTTCCCCATTCGGACATCCCGGCCTTCCTCTTGCCGTGGCTGCCCAGCCGGCCGGCCTCCTACGCAAGCAGGCACAGCTCTTTCAGCCGCAGCTTTGGAGGACGGAGCCAGGCGGCGGCCTTACTGGGTAACGGGGGTGCAGAGGGTGGCTTGGGACTCTAAATTATCCCAAATGTGGGGTTTCTGTTCCTCCAGATTAGGTGGGACCTGACCAGGAAGATTGGGGGGTGGGGGAATTCATCAACAGAAAAGTGGAGGAGGGGGATGGTGGCGATCTGGAAATGTTGCATTGGCTCCCATATTAGGCCTTTTAAGCCAGGCCTCTCCAGCCTTGGCAACTTTAAGAACTTGTGGACTTCAACTCCCAGCTTTGCTGGCTGGGAAATTATGGGAGTTAAAGTCCATAAGTCTTAAAGTTGCCAAAGTTGGAAACTCCTGCTTTAGGCCATGATGGGCATTGCTGTTCCAAAATCATCTGAGAGGTAAAGCTCAGATCAATCAATCAATCAATCAGAATAGAGCTGGAAGGGACCTTGGAGGTCTTCTAGTCCAGCCCCCTGCTCAAGCAGGAGACCCTATACCATTTCAGACAAGTGGCTGTCCAGTCTCTTCTTAAAAACCTCCAGTGATGGAGCACCCACAACGTCTGAAGGCAAGCTGTTCCACTGGTTAATTGTCCTCACTGTTAGAAAGTTTCTCCTTAAATACAGGTTGCTTCTCTCTGACCAGTTTCCATCCATTGTTTCTGGTGCTTTGGAAAATAAGTTGACTCTCTCCTCCTTGTGGCAGCCTCTCAAATACTGGAATATTACTATCATGTCACTCCTAGTCTTTCTTTTCGCTAGACTGGCCATTCCCAAATCCTGCAACCATTCTTCATATGTTTTAGTCTCCAGGCCTTTAATCATCTTAGTTGCTCTTCTTTGCACTTTTTCCCAAACTCTCAACATCTTTTTGGTAATATGGTGACCAAAACTGGATGCAGTATTCCAGGTGTGGCTTTACTAAGGCTTTATAAAGCGGTACTAATACTTCATGTGATTTTGATTCTATGCCTCTGTTTATACAATCAAGATTGTATGGACTTTTTGGCTGCTGCTGCACAGTGCTGGCTCACGTTTAAGTGATCGTCCACTAGGACTCCAAGGTCCCTCTCACAGTTACTGTTTTCGAGCCAGGTCTCGCCTAATCGGTACTTAGACCTTTGGTTTTCCTGCCTAAATGTAAAACTTTGCTTTTCTCCACATTAAAATTCATTCCCGTCTGCTCTCCCTCCCTTCCCTTCTGCTCTTCGGTTCCCCTCTGGGCAGCTGCCACAGTGCCAGAGCAGCGGACAGTGACCCTGGATGTGGACATAAACAACCGCACAGACCGGCTGGAGTGGTGCAGCTGTTATTACCACGGCAACTTCTCCCTCAGCGCTGCCTTTGAAATCAAGCTGCACTGGATGGCCGTGACGGCGGCTGTTCTCTTTGAGATGGTGAGCTCTGGCAGACGGGCATTCGGGCTGGGCTTTTCCTGGGAAATCAGAGCGGCCTCTTGCAGGCCAGATCCGCTGGTTTCCAAGGCCGTGTTTGGTCATCCTTTGAGCCCGGTACTCCTAAAGGCGGGCCTGCAGACAAGGCGAAGCCGCCCACCACCCTCCCCTCTTTCCACAGGTCCAAGGCTGGCATCGCAAAGCCACTTCCTGTGGATTCCTGCTGGTCCCAGTCCTGGAAGGCCCGTTTGCGCTGCCCAGTTACTTGTACGGGGACCCCCTTCGGGCCCAGCTTTTCATCCCGCTCAGTATCAGCTGCCTGCTGAAAGAGGGCAGCGAGCACCTCTTCGACGGTGAGAGGGAGGGAGGGGCCGGTTACTTTGAACCACCTTGCAGATCAAGCAAGGACATCTTATTCCCTTATCCCACAGGCAACTCTTGTTTGTTTGTTTGTTTATTAATTTATATGCTGCCTATCAAGTGACTCTTACAATATCATAAAAGCAGACGCAAAAACATTAAATATTAAACTAAGTTAAAAACAAGTATACAACAGGGTGTGGGTGGGAGCTTCTCCTAGTCCACTAATCATCCCATCAGACCCCAGGCCAATCAGCAGTTCCTGCCTTCATAATTAGCAGGTGAGCTCTTTCTCTGCCTGAACCTACAAAATCACTTGGGTCCGTCCTCTTAGGAGGAGGGTGTCTGGCAAAGAGAGGCAGGAAAGGGAGGTCCAAAGAAGGGGCGAAGGAAGAAAGCCGTGGGACCAACGACTCCTTTGCTGGGCCAGGGCGGGCAGTTCCAGTGGTGGCCTACCAGAGACTGGGCAGGGAAGGAGCTTTTTTTACGAAGCATCGCTTGACCCTCGGAACTACACTTGGATGGGGGGGGGGCTGAGTCACCTGGAGCTTTGGGGAGACAAGATCAGTGCTTTCTTGAGACCAAGCAAGGTAATATAGAAGCATCTCCCAACTGCGGAATTCTCCAGAAAGCTTCGCAGGATGTGCCTAAGAAATCTTGGGATCTTGACAGCAACCAGAACCCCCCTCCTGTTTCTCTTGCAGGCTTTGAGCCAGAAACGTATTGGGACCGGATGCACCTTCTGCAGGAGGCCATTGCACACAGGTGAGCCGTTGGGGAGGTGCTGTTGGGGGGTGGTGCAGTGGGTGACACCAGGTGTAGGAAGGAAGCTTAAAAGTCCTCAGCGCTGCTTCTGCAAGGCTGGGCTTTTATTCTACTTTTCCTTCCTCTGCTCTGAATCCAAAGGGGAACCATAGCATCGGAGGGGGACCTTTTAGTGGGGCCATGAAGCTTCTGGCAGACCAGGCTCCGGAGGGACTCACCCTACAGGATATGCTTCTTGCGTGCTCAACAAGAGCTGTGCTTTGTTCCCAGCAGGTTTGGATTCGTACAGGATAAATACTCGGCCTCTGCCTTCAACTTCCCTGCAGAGAACAAGCCCCAGTATATCCACGTCACCGGTGAGCTCTCTTTCCCTTCAGGAGTGGGGATGGTGGGGCAGGCGGGCAATGCATCTGAAGGGGAGTGTGTGTGCCCACCAACCCCTGCCCTGCCCTTTCTGCTGCTGGGCCCAGGAGAAAGAGGGCTTCCCATGGTTTCCTGCCCTGATGGCCCCACCCCAGGCTGGCTGACAGCCTCTGGTACTCCGAAGCCCAGCCAGCTGCTGTGACGCTCCTCGCCTCTCCTCCTTCCCACCCTGCCAGTTTCAAATGAAACTGAACTTTGCTTCAGAACTCTGCTTTGCTCAGGAAGGGCTCTCGGCTCCTGGCAGGACAGCTTTGCGTGAAACCAGAGAACTCTGCAAAGTTCAGTTTCACAGGAGCGGCCCACTTTCGAGACTGCATGCTGGCTCAGGAATTCTGGGAGTTGAGGTCCATAATTCATAAAAGGGCCATCGTTCCCCACCCCTGTTCTAGAAAACCCCCTCCCTGGTTGAGGTAGGCCCAGGGGACGCATCCTGCGCAGAAAGCTCCTGTCCTCTGAAACACCCCCCCCCCTTTCCCCACTCAGGCACGGTCTTCCTCCAGCTGCCCTATTCCAAGAGGAAGTTTTCCGGGCAGCAACGCCGCCGACGCAACTCCACCAGCTCCGCCAACCAGAACGTCTTCTGCGAGGAGCGCATTGGCTACCACTGGGCCTACAACACCATGCTGACCAAAACCTGGCGATCCAGTGCCACCGGTGACGAGAAGTTTGCCGACCGGCTGCTGAAAGACTTCATGGACTTCTGCTGCAACAAAGATGGTCGGCTCCTCTCCTTCTGGACGGGCTGCCTGGAGAAGATGCACGCCAGCGCGCCCTGAGGACCGGCTTCCGCAGGCCGGGCAAAGACAAACTCAGCC